AATTTGTGTATTTATACAGACATGCATTTATTTATTTGCATATGAATTTATTTATTTGTGTATTTATTTATTTATTGTTTTTGCAGGTTTCGTCCTCCATAGTATTCTAAGAGTTTTCTTTGAATAGAAATTGACTTGTGTAGTATAAAACTCGCTGGAAAGCCATAGTAGGCTAATGTGTAATTCGGAAGCTCTTTTGAGTTGATTCTTTTTAGTGAATCAGTTGACTGGTTCACAGATCATTCGGAGTGATTCATTAGTAAATCAGTCTTCATTTGAATATATTAAGATTATATATTAATTGAATATACAAGAATTGTATAATATTCTGAATAATAAACTCTGAATAAATTGAATAATATTCATATCCAGTAATAAAAAACAACAGGAAAAGTGTGAGAACCTTGTCTCTGTAGTTCATTGCACACTAAAGTTACACACTCAGATGATTTTACTTGTAATTTGTATTTGGGACAACCTGCGTTCAACCTTCTCCTGTATAGGCAGCAAATGTGTGTCATCTTGACAGGCCAGTGTCTTTAAAGCTATTCCATCCAATAAGCTCAGGTTGGTATGATAGAAACCAGATGGACTTAGGCTAATGTTCCTAATCCCCTCTTAAATGGCTCTCATGGCCCCTGGGACACCAAGGTGAACGGCCCTGTCCCATGCTGTTGTTCTCAGATCAGATGGATGCCAGTGTGCCACCCCCTGCCTCAATTTACTCCAGATTTAGTCCGGTGGTAATTCATCTTGTGAACAGATCTGTATTTTACACCTCGATTCTCCTCAGAGACCTGCATAGATCAGTGTCGCTGGAGCAACAGACCAGCTCATGTTCCGAATAGTGATTTGTGGGAAAATCACTTGGTATCTGTGTCATTCTTGTCTTTTTTTTTTTTTTCCCCTCTCTCACCTATTTGATTCAGTGTTTTTGAGTGGTGGCTGTGTTAGAGATGTATTCGCCACAGAGGAAGGACTTCGTCTCTCTGACGCTGGGAGACCAACACAGCCGCAGCTACACCAACGGCAAGCACCGGAGACAGTCCTGCTGGAGGGTTAGTGCCTGGGTATTTTCTTCTTAAAATGGCATCTAAACTCTTTACTTGGTTTTGCAGGAAAAAAATATGAAGCATTATGTATTTTTCATTCATTACCGGTGATGTTTGAAGGCTGATGGCTTCTGCCTCTTTATTTGTTTGTGTAAATGAGTGCCATTTTCCTGTCTGCAAGATGTCTTGACATCTGTTTAATATTCTGAGAACAAAATGCTGGCACTGTAGTTGTTGTGTTCAGTCTTAGGAAACCACAGGTGTCAAAACCCTTGTATTTTCCCTCTTTTATTTAATCTACTAATTTGTATATACTCAATTGTCTCCAAAAAGCAGATGCGCACTCCCTGCTTAGCCGAAACACATACGTTTAGCTTGAAAAATTTACTTTTAATTTAAAAACATAGCTTAAAGGTACCATTCACCAAAAAATGAAAACTCTGTTACAGTATTTTTTAATCACCGTCATGTCTGTCTAAACCACATGCTGTTATTTTTTTTCTTGGTAACCCAGAAGGAGGATCTTGTTCATGCAACACCAGTTCAATGTGATCGTGTCATTTAAACAAAAAAAAAATTTGAGAACACAAATGGTTAAAGTTTAATTTAGTCTATTCCTCACACAAAGCTATGGGCGGCATTGATATTAATATGAAATGTTGCTTTAGCATCAAATCAGCATATTAAAATGATTTCTAAAGAATCATGTGACACTCAAAAGTGAAGTAATATCAACTGAAAATTTTGATTTGATATCATAAATTGTATTTTAAAATACAACGGTTCTTTTAACTTGTAATATTTCACAATATTACTGTTTTTACTGTATTTTTGATCGAATAAATGCAGTCTTGGTGAGCTTAAGAGACTTCTTTTAAAAAAACATTAAAAAGTCAACTTACCCCAAACGTTTGAAAGGTATTGTATTGAATTTTTTGTTCACAGAAGAAAGAAAATTATGCAGGTTTAAACAATATGCCGGCGAGGAAATTAATGAATTTTTGAGTGAATTGTCCCTTTAATGTCTTCCATTATCCGAGATTCACGTCGAATTAATTAGTTAGGTTGATTCAATTATAAAGAGGTCTGTACTGAGAGAAAACTTGAGGGATAAATCACATTTTGTTTCCATGTAGCTGTATTTTTTAGTACTATATTTGGCAGTCATTGCAATTGCCACATCAGCCATCAAATATAAAATTGCTGCACTTTCCTCCAATTGTCCTTGAATTGTTTGTGTTTGTTTTGGCAGAAATGGAAGCAGCTGTCTCGGCTTCAGCGCAGTCTGATTCTTTTCCTGCTGGCCTTCCTGTTCATCTGTGGGATTCTTTTCTATCCCAGCCTGACGGAGCAATGGAGAGGTACTTCATACATCCACCTTTAATGACATTTCACTGGATATGAAAGGTGAAAACACAAAAGTTGGATGATTGGTACAACCTCTGCCCGTTTATATTAGCTTCTGGGGAAGAAATTTTATTAAACATCACGCCGTTTGCTATTAATAATTCACATATGTATTTCTGTCTGTTCTTTCTCCAGGACTCTCTGATAGATCATTGAAGGAGGACTGGGTTGAAATGGATAACCGAGGTCTCAGGCCCATTCCTCCTGGCCTCATCCCAAAGATCCCGCCAGGAGTTGTCCTGGGGGTCCAGGACATCCCGCCAGAAGTGATGCCAGAGATTCAAAGACCAAGCATTCCATTACTTCCCAAACCTCCAGCTATGGTTAGTAGGAATTAGGGTTGCAAAAAGGTGGAACATTTCCAGTAAATTTGGGAAACATTCCAGGATTTTTTTTTTTATATTCTAGGGATTTTTGGAAAGTTTCTGGAAATTTACCGGAAATTTTCCACCCCTTTGCAACCCTAGTTGGAATACTTCTCAGATATTAAGGATCTGCAAAATAGTATATTGTTCACTTTATCATTTCTCTACTCATTTGCAAAGGTTTTTTTTACAGCTCCTGCTAAAAAGACCAGCTTAAACCTGGTCTTTAAACCAGAATTGTACTGTATGTTTCTTAATTCAGTATTTAGTATTATTATATTAATAAATTAAAATGATACAAGAATTACAGCTGCTTCTAAATTCCAAATAAAATCTTTAAAAATAATTTAATATTAATATTAAATCATTTAAAAAGATACAAAAAGGTACAATTATTTCTAAATACAAAATTAAAGCATTATAAATCATTTAATTAATTAATGAATATTAATAGTAATAAAGAAAATAATGAAAAATATACCAAAATTTGCTAGTATTTCTAAATAAAGTAAATAAATAAATACGTTTTAACAATATTTAAAAAATGTGATTGTTTCTAAATTTAAAACAAAACCATTAAAATAAATAAATGTTATTTATATTAGAATTATTATATTAATAATTTTAAAAAGCTACAATTGTTTCTATAACAATGAAAATATATCATATTAAGTCATTTAAAAAGATACAAAAATTAGGATTATTTGTAAATACAAAATAAATATAAATCAATCAATTAATTAATATTAATAATAATAAAGAATAATCTAAATTCAAAATAAAAGGGTTAAAATAAATATACTGAAACAAATATTTAAATATTTGTATATTTTAATATTTTATTAAATTAAACCACAACCATGCTGATCTAAGCACATTCATTCACCTTCTTAAAAGATACTAGATTCTTCACCTACTCTTGTGTTTTTATGTTGGGCGGTTTGAATCTGCAGAGGAAGCCACCTAGCAAGCGTGGTCCTCCAGTCCTACAGAAGCGAGGGAATGTGTCAGACTGGCAGGTGAAAGATGGAGAAGAAGCCATGGTCAGGAGAGATGAAGACGGAGGGAAAGAAGCAAAAACAGTCATTAGGTTTGGCTTATTACATTCAAGAAATTAGGCCATTTTATATGAGAGTTTTGATAATGATGATTTGCCTAGGATTAGACTTTGACATTTATTTGCTGTTGGCTTAGTGTTTAACCTTTTGAATAAGTAGAGGTATTAAAGCTCAGACAGTAATTATGAGATTTATTGACACTTATTGTTATTAGTCTCACTGCTTGGAGCCCATACATACAATGATAGAGAGTGTGCTGAAAATATCACATTGTTTGTTCCACAAAAATGTGAGAGTGAGTAAATAACAGAATTTTCATTTTAGGATGAACTCTCCTTTTTAGAAAGTGCAGAGAAATACACAACAGTAGCTGAAGATAAAGACTCATGTGCAGTGCTAGAGCCCTAGGGAAGAGTTTATTAACAGTAGAGCTGGTAACACAGAGTTGTGATGAGCTTTCATTTCCTCCAGCTGTGTCCTGTTACAGGACTCCACCTCCCGCTCGTGTGTAATTGCGGTTATAATCGTGAGGCGTGTGGGAGGAAACGGTGCGATTACAGGTGTTGAATCTCTGGGTTGGATCTTAGATAAACTGCTGTCATAACTGATGCCAGTTTTTGGATTCCTAGCTGGCGCGGGGCGATGATCGAGGCGGAGCAGGGGACGGAGCTTCAGTCCACCGCCCATGGAAAAGAAGGAACCGTGGCTGATGACGAGGAAGCTGCCAACTTAAAACCAGGTATCAGAATTCATCCTGTAATTTGAGGCATTTGTCCATGCCAAAGTTTGGCTTGTGCTAAAGATCAGCCATCACAGACATGTGATCATCTGAATGTCTTTCTGTGACAGTCACAGTGAAGGCCGTGGATCGTGTGGAGGTGGTGCAGGAGGCCTTCAGGCACGCATGGAAGGGCTATAAGGCCTTTGCGTGGGGTCATGATGAACTGAAGCCCATATCTAAGACCCATGGAGAGTGGTTTGGCCTGGGCCTAACTCTCATTGATGCACTGGACACCATGTGGATCCTGGGACTGAAAGACGGTGAGTTTGTTTCATAACCACTGTGCTCCGATTTCAGATGTATACTATTTTTTTCTTTCCTATTGTCAAAATGAGTGTGTCTTCAGCCACAGGCACTTTCATTTCCCAGATGTTGATTTTTATTAAAAGTGACCATTTGTCTATTTGTTATATAACGGCCACATTAAAACTGAGTTGGATTTATTTATTTATTTATTTTATTTTTTTGCTATCTTTCAAATGGCTTTTATGTATAGATTTTATGACTTTAGCATTATCTTGCAATCTTAGAATAGGAAAATACATCCATAAAAATCATTTTTGTTATTTACTGTGTCAGTGAAGCGTATTCTTTTGATGAAACATGAGATGTGAAGGAAATAAAGAAAAATCAAGGTAAACATAAAATTACATTTTCTTTTTTCTTTTTTTTGTATTGTGTGTTCCAGTCAAGCTGCAATTTTGTCAAATTACAATATGCAAATGACAATTTTAATTGTCCTTTGTTGGACATTGTTAGTAGATCAATTTAAATTAGAGAGTGTGTTTTGAGAAAGTCCGCAGAGACAAAAGTTCCAAAATCTGAAGAAACACCCATGAAAAAATATATATTAAGCAATAAAAACTTCAAATAATAATAGAAAAATAATATTTTTTTTCTTTATGTCCCTCCTTTTGCCTTTTCCCCCTCTCTCTCTCTCTCTCTCTCTCTCTCTAATTCTTTCTGTAATAGAGTTTGCAGAGGCCAGGAAGTGGGTTGAGACAGAATTATCCTTTTCCAAGAATGTGGATGTGAATCTTTTTGAGAGTACCATCCGTATATTGGGGGGTCTCTTGAGCACATACCACCTGACCGGAGATACTCTCTTCCTGGATAAAGCTGTAAGTACTTCATGTCTTAGTAGCATCTCCATTATCATTCATTTTTGTCCTTGTAAATGTAAAGTATAGCTTTAAAGGTTTATTTCAACAGACCACAGAACTCAATACATGTTGTGTCTCTTTTCTTGCAGAAAGACATCGGGTTCAGATTAATGCCTGCATTCAAAACCCCATCTAAAATCCCCTACTCTGACGTGAACATTGGTAAAGGAACCGCTCACCCTCCACGATGGACCACAGACAGCACAGTCGCAGAGGTGACCAGCATTCAGCTGGAGTTCAGAGAGCTCAGCCGACTCACACAGGACCCACAGTACCAGGTACTTTGTCTAGGTATCTTTTTCATTTTTTACTTTTTAAAAAAAAATATTATTTTACCTTTTTATTTAAATGTATGTTAAAAAAATTATTTGAATTTAAATGTATTTCTTCATTTTTTTACAAATGTTTAAAAGCTTCGTCTGTTTTGGATTTTATTTCATTTTTCGCCCTCTGTTTTAGAATGCAGTGGAGGAGGTGACCAGACAGGTTCACCGATTGGAGGGAAAGCGTGACGGTCTGGTACCCATGTTTATCAACACAAACAGTGGGAAATTCACACGTCGAGGGGCCTTTACGCTGGGGGCCCGTGCGGACAGCTACTACGAGTACCTGCTCAAACAGTGGCTACAGGGTGGCAAGAAAGAGACTGAGTGAGTTAACAGCAGATACAAATGCAGCTTTGACTTTCAGTGCTTAGACCGAGTGTCAATAGCCCACTGGTGCTTTTAGCTAATGGGTTCCAGGGAATTGGTGATGCACACTGAGCCTAATGTACTGAGGTTATGATTCTGGTCACAGATGGGCTGATATGATTGATTCACATTGTCAGTCACTGAAAGGGTGAATTACACCAGAAAAGGAAATAAAAAAACTCTGAGCACGTTTTAATCATTACATAAGGACTGCTTTTTGAAAACCGTAGACATGCTACTTGGCCTTGACAGTGATAAATGTACAGGGCATTGGAAACCTGGAGGTGACTTCAGTGCATTCACTATTGGATCATTTTATTCTGATGTCTTAGTCATTTCTTGGTGGAATTAGTTTTAAGAGGTCTTAAATTATATTTTGTATTTCAAGTGCAGGTGCTTCTGTTTGAATGTTAGCGTCTGCATTCTAGCACTTAAAAAAACCTCTTGTGAATTAGAATAAAGGTGAAGTGTGTAATTTGTGCACATCTAGGAACGTCAAGCAGTCACAAAAATAATGCTCGTTTTAAAACCGGCTTTCTGAACAGCCATTGGACAATCAAACCGATAGTCCAATCCCGAATTCACTGTTGGTCCAGTGTTGCTCAACGTATTTTAATATAAAAAAGAAAAATAGTAAACTGGTATACTAATGCAATGTTTTTAACTGGATTTCCATCATCACTATTACTCATACTTATTTAGTAGGGATGCACAGTGGTATGCATTTTATGTATTTAATTTTATTTATTTATTACAGTTAGTTGATATTTAATTGAATGTTTCTTTCCTTTATTTTACATTTAATTTGCCTGGTTTAATCTAACACTCAAAAGGAAATTACTCACTCATAATTTAAAAAAAGGGAGAAAACTATATATATATATATATATATATATATATATATATAGTACATTTATATACTTATGCATTATACTGATCAATATCAGTTGATATTGGAAATATATTGGATATTTACTTCTGTATGCTTATTTTCTCTATTGCATTTAGATTACCTTTGCCATTTAATGCTTGCAAATAATTTAATAACAATGCAATCTTATCAATTTTTTATGCCATTATACTTTTAGAATTTTATACTATTTTTATACTGTTCATTATAATATCATGCTACCTAAAATCACTTGTAGCATTTAAAATTATTGATTTTATTTTGTTTTATTTTCTTTTTTTCTTTTTTGAGGTGAGGTGTGCTATTACTTTTCTAACCAGTTGAACTTAAGTTTTGACAGTAAATGAGTGAAAAAGCCCCTGCAAGACAGCAGCATTATGACAACAACTGTCACAGGCACGTTTTGCACATGTCCACCATTAGGGACGGTGCCAAGGTGCCTTCGCTCCTGGCGAAATGCGACATCAACCGTTTTCTGCATTTGACAGGATGTTATTCTGTCTTCCTGTTCTTTCTGCCGGAGCTTGACGAGTCATTGTCATTCACCTCAGTGCTTCTGCTCACACCTGAGTCTCGTTAGACTCCCACTGTGTTGCCATCACATACACTCGCTCCTCGCTGATAGTATTTTTTTCATAGGGTTCAGTTTTGAATAACTCAATAAAAAGGTGTTCACTGGGGTTCAGTAAACTGACTCTTAATGAGGTTTGATAACTGTCTCTGGTCAGGAATATCAAATCAACCCAAGACCAGGTCAGTGATGGATATGCTAGTCATTGATGTGGAAGGTGGTTCATTTAAATGACCTCTGTATCCTGATTCCTGTCTGTGTAATCTCTCCAAGACCTTAATGGGGTTGAATCGCAGCTCTTACTTTTTGATTTTATGTATTACACTTATGAGTATCAACTGAAGTCTGGGGTGCTCCCAATGTACAATTAAAATGCAGTAGCTCATTTTGCCTCTAGAGGGCAAACTTAATCACTTCAAATGCAGAGTGTGATGCATCTATACCTTTCCAGGCTGCTAGAGGACTATCTTCAGGCTATAGAAGGTGTCAAAAAGAATCTCTTGAGACAGACTTCTCCTAGCAAACTGACCTTCGTTGGGGAGCTGTCCAACGGCCATCTCAATCCCAAAATGGTGAGTCATAACTTCACCACATTTCTGCTGCCAAGTGTCGTTCTTAATTAATTGTTCACTGAAAAAATGAAAATTATGTTGTTATTTGCTGACTTTCATGTTGTTCCAAACTTGTATGCTGTTTTTGTCCCGTGGAACACAAACTTGGAAATGGCAAAAAATTCTACTTTAATATTCCGCATGGACAAATGACAGCATGCGGATTTGGAAAAACAGTTCATAATGACAGAGTTTTAATTTTTGGTTGATTTTTTTTCCTTATGTGGTTACACTATAAATAGCTTTAATCTATACCACACAGCACAGCATCTGATCCTATAATCTCCAGGATTAAATCTTATTACAAATCTTAAAAAAAAAAAAAAAAAAACTGT